AGTGCAAGGTAGGCTTTCACGTTGAGTGTTTTACCGCTTTCCACAAACACGACTATTTAAAGCACTCACCTCAACTCCGAGGAGCACTGGAGGTGCTTTGTAGAGTATCTACCGATGATCCTGTGGTCTTCACACGAAAGAAGAGCAACAAAACAATTACGCCAGTTGAGAGACTAAAGCTTCCTGAACCATAACACAATGCACACTTTTCTTACCTACTTTGGCGAGTCTGGCCAATAATTCTCCAGCTTCTTGGTCACACAATGAGGCACTGGTCCGCGGAAATTTCATTGTTTTTTGGTAGAGATAGAGCCTACTCAGTGTCCGCCGGAGAACTCGGTTGCGATGCTTGCGTCGCCTCAGCTTCTGTTGTAATCTTCCTGCAGCTAGCCAGAGTTCTTGTTCGTAGAGCTGCCACCCACAAGGTACTGTGCAGCACCAGCAGCACACATCGTCCGGTACGGGCTCCATCGGACCCTTTGTAACATGTGCAACGCTCATGAATGCGAGGAAAGAAATTTGTAGAGAGGGTGATGCATCAAGAACTAGGCTATGACTTGCTCTGACTGCCTTCAAATTTAAAAAAACAAGCGACACGATTGGATCTCGTACGGGTCCTGTTGGACCCACAAGAAAACACCGGGAGTTAAAGGGCTAATGATACTGTGGAAACCATCCAAAAATGTCCAATTTATTTGCTAATTGACTAATTTTAAGAGCATCATTAGAGATCTAATATAAGACCGAAAATATATATAAACGGACTGCAAGTTATTTTTAGTGACCAGTTATCTAAATTAGTGTCCGTTTTAAGAAATCCCACCTCGTTCATATAAATATAGATTTCTCCGAATTCTCACGCACAACCGGGCAATCCAAGCACCTGCAACATATATAAACGGAGAGCACATGCGTATGTATAGCACTTAAAGTTGGTAAGTTTGGACACGCTATCAGAGCCAGTGTTCCTGTTGAGAATGCAGAATTCGAGTTTGATGAAGAACTTGACAGCTTCGAGAGGGTATATTCTTTAGCCGAAGAAAAGATAAGCTAGGCACGGGCAACGTATACTACAACAACGACAGGCCCGACATGAAACTATATCTGAAACCGAGTCAGCACGCAAAGCAAGCACAGTTCGTTGCACTGACTAGTGAAACGTGTTCCGCGTAGCTGGATCAAGCTCGGGCCAACTACCACAAACAGTAGGAATTTGATGGCCCATTTGTCGTTCACCTGTTCACGCATGCTGCGAGAGAGGTGTGCCAGGGCATTCATCGTGCGATTTCGGCTTACATTCTCGGAGCGGCAGATACTATCGACACGTATCTGGCTGAATAACTGGACGTGCGCGTAGACGATATAGCTCGCAGGGCCTGGGCGATTAGCCATGCCCGCGAACCCAACGACGCAGGAGTCACATAATCGGAGAGTGCCACGTTTCAGCAAATGCAGCACTTGGATGCTATGAGTGCTGTACACCAGGAAAACGATCGAGAAGAGAGCGTTTATCGCACGTTAAAGACAAGCTTGAATCTCATCACCTACAACAACATTAACCCTTTTGTTGCTCATCGTTGTAAACATGGCATAATGCATCATTTTACAAAATCGACCAATCAAAAATCAATAAATAATTTTGAACAAATTAGACACTTACCGGAAATACAGCAAAACGATGCATTATTCCACGCTTTACAAAACAGTATCTTAAAATTTGTATTCGATATTTGACTAAATTAATTTTGGCCCGCTGGAAATTGCTTTAAGAGGTGGCATTATGCATCGTTTTACTAAAATGACTCGATTAAATTTTGCAAATTTCTACAATAGGAAAAATATGGGAAACAATATGGTTAAGTCAATTTTATGGTGAAATTTTATTTATAGTTTTTCATGGGTCCTGTTGCTGCTAGAGGTTCGGTTGATGCTCTTATCAAGGATAACATCAAATTCGTATTTCTTTTAACTACATTCTCCAGGATTTGCAGGACATTGTACCCAATAGCTTGCTTATCGCAGGACACAATGTCCTAAGTTTTCCAAATGGAAAGAAGTGTAATCAACCAGTAATTGGGATTCACTATACCCAGGAGAAAATAACCAATTTCCACCAGTTTCGCAGGACAAATGTCCTATGGGACTTGCAATCAATACCAGCCAGCTCATTTGTGGCCCCGGGCCGCAACAGTAATTGACTAGGGGCCCATCGCGGCGCTGTCGAACACGTCCGAGTCCACCATTGGTGTCGGCAGAAGCTGAACAAAGGGATTCCTGAATGGGCTCCTCGTATTTATATGCGCCACTGCTGCCGCTGACAGGAACGTTGTTGCATGACGAGCTATCATTCTATCATGCGGCGAGATCAGATATGTTTGGTATATCAGTGCAATCCGGGCTGATCATTGAATCAAATTAAAAAAATGTGACCTAAGAGAGCCAGAGAAGTATACTTTTGCGAATCCGCCTCGTCCAACACAAAAAAATAATGAAAGGGGGCATTTTGCCCCTATTCGTGGGTGACACGAGCGGTACTCAAGGATACGCCCTCCAAAGGGGGCAAAATGCCCCCATTGACCACGAAAGGGTTAATAAGTAAAAAAAAACTGATTAATAATTGCAATTATTACATCTCTACCTTTTTACGTTAGCATTGTAAAAATGGACCTGCTTGAAGCTAGTGAGCTACTTCAAGCGTTGGGATCTTGCGAAGTCTAGCTCGATACTCAAGCCAGATCTTTATTCACTTCCAACACCACAAGCCCGTCGTCAAACTTCATGTTTGTTGTTAGCCCGCCAGCAAAATCCAGTCGCCCCACTTAGCGCACTTTTCACACGTACTAGTACGAAGGCAAACTCCGCCCTCTATTGGACTGTATGCAACCGTTGCCAGCAGCACCATATCAACCATCGCGGACCTGAGCCGGAGCGGATACGGGCCCCGAATAGACTACTAGGAGAAACTTCTTACACAGTCCATGCGCTATGAAGGAGAGTTCGTTGGATCTAAGCCTCCTCTTCTTCCAGGAAATATTGACTTTCTGGTATGCGCAGTGTACAGTCTGTCTCTAGTGTAGCCGTTCTCTGAACCGGAACGAACTGGTGGTTGTACGCTTTTCGATATTTGCTGGACGCATTAGCGCTCCAATGAAAGAGCTTGCTGGTATGCATGCGATGATGGAAAGTAGTCTTTAATGCATGGAATTGCTGCACACACCATATATGGATAGTGCAGTCACGCTCCACCAAATTTACCGTTCTCCACACGGACTTGGTCCGGGCGTAAGCTAGGATCGCTATAGTGATCCACGCCCAATACCTCTAGACACGGGGTGATTATGAAGTTGTTAAATTTGGAGGAGGTATCACCCAAAATATCTTGATACGCCGGGACCAATATTTCTGGAATGTGTGTTGATTTTAATATGTGCGGCTGAATCCCTTTTAGTTGAATTCGTCTTTACTTATCCTGAAAGCCACATGACAACTCTCTGTAAAAAACCGCCCTTGTCGTAAACGGTTCGAAAACCAGAAGGGGGAATGCTGAACGACAACCATTACCTAGCCAGTTGTTCGCTGCCTCAAATAGGTTCAAAGTTACCTCATCATACGATGGCTGATTGTACTCCTCGTTGAATGCGTAGGTGTCCCGATGCGCTTTCGCAATGGTGTCTAAGCACGAGGCAGCAAGTGGGCGAGTATCACTAAATTGAGGCTGGCAAAACCTGCAGTCGTTCTCATGTTCACTACGACCCACGGTAAATGTAAGAACTTGTTCTTGGGGGGGGGGTAATCGTGAAGACATTTTTTTCAGCGTTGCCGATAAAGTTTCTCGCACAGAAGCAATGATTACGGTTGGATAGAGCTCCGTCACGGTAGCAAGAATTCCTTTGGCGATCAGTATCAAATACAAGATCCCAGTCCGGCGAGACTGAGGCAATTGCTGTCTTCATCAGAATCCAGCATCAGTTTGACGTATCCTCCTTCTCCACCAAAGCCGAACCGAAAACTAGAATACGGTTGTGTAGTCTTTAGTTGCTGCCAGTAAATAAACCTCCGTTTGTTCATGGTTCCTTTGAGGTCAGTGCCATGCAAAGCAACCACATGCTTGCATTGACGTTTAGCTAAAGGCCCGGTTCGGGGGGTTAGGCGGGGGTTCGGAAAACTTCCGGTTTTTTTTTTTCAAGGCGTTGGGGGGGTTCGGATTCCGTTTTGGTTGTTTTTTCAGTTGGTCTTTTTTTTTTGATAACTCTCCATCATATCACCCTAGTGCGCGTCGAGCAAGCGTAGCTTGAGCTGTGAAATATTTTGTCAATTTACAGTGAAGCCTTTCGGCTGAAGAAAAGTTTTGATTGCATTGTCGGTAAAATCATCTCGCACACTGGTGTGTACAGGCAACATTTCTCGCTCTATTACACCTTGAATGACTCAATTGAGACGTCACGCTGCCGCTACCGTGTCTTAGCTTTCCTTAGGTCGCTCTACGAACGTGTCAACCTGAAAATCGGTTTGTCTATAGTGAGCATCCTCCAAACACTTTTACGTTGACTTCCATTCATCTCGTAATTCGTACACAGTTATGAAAAACGGGCAACGCTTCAAACTTCCAGGCAAATGCTGCTGCTGGCCTTCAATTGTTTGCAAGCATACCTTGCATTACCTCCCTTGACATCCTCCCTCCAACTATTGCTGTCCACACAAGAGAGAAGCCACTGTCGCCCCCAAACACCCGGTATTGTTGTTGGAGAGCC